ACCCACTCAAGATCTCAACAAAAACCCCAAGCAAAAGACAAAAACAGCCCCAGCAAACAGCTCAGAAAAATAGCCGTTGGAAGCCAACGGATACATTGGCGGTCGACCGGAAATTATGTCGGTCGACCCCATCGTCGGTCGACCGGTGCGGTCGACCGATGGAGCTCTCGGTCGACCGCATCGGTCGACCGACCAACTCTCTGCTGCATGGTGACGAAAGAACAAACGAGCGGTCGATCGGTGCGGTCGACCGAAAACTGATATAACAGAAAACTGATTTGCTGATTTTAAAACGCTGTTTAAAAATATCAAATAAATTTTAAAAAATATAAAACTTTGGGGAATGATTGTAAACATGATAATAAACATGCTACAGCGACTGGTTATCAGAAATGACCTCCCAAATGAAAAATATCATCATTTTACAAAATAGTTCAAAACATGAAAATATGAGATACTTGAATTTTGATGTTTTGACATAAACTAACTTTTGAAACTTTGTGAAATGTTTTTATAGACTTAGTAAAACATGTATAAACTGATATTCAAGTCTACAAACTAAGAATACAATATTTTCACAAAATTGCATATTCTATGCAATGTTTTCAAAAACACAATAGAAAATATAAAATATATAATTTCATATATATAATCATAAAAAAACTCAAAAACTATGTATGTATATGTATAACTATATATATGTATAGAAACCAAAACTTATGTATATATATATAACTATATATATATATGAAGAAACCAATAAATGTGTGTGTATAGATATTGAGCTTAGAGTATATAACACACATAATATAAAATCTAAAACTACATTACCCAAGCAATCTTGATCTTCAATTAAGCTTGACTTGGTACACTTGCGGATGAAGCTTGAACTTGATCTTTAACTTTAATTGTACGTTGCTTCACTCCACAATTCCGCCAACCTCCATTTGATATGATCGTTATGGCGCAATCCATCCATCCTCCAACAACGCTGTTTGTCTATAATACATAGGAAAAACACAAATACTAGACAAATAACATTAGAAGTAAATTGTTTGTTAAACATCATCAAAATAAGAAGGCCAACAACTTACACTGTCCAAACCAGACCGGGTTAGGGTCGGGCTTGGCCAAACCCGGTCCAATGGCTAAACTAGCCATCTGCACCGGGCCAGGCGTGGACCACCTCGTTAACAGATAGTTTTCTAGCCGTTGGATCGGCGTCCAAGGTCCGGGCCGACTAGGCTTCTGAGCTTGGCGCCGGTTCTAACGGCTACTAGGTAGAGCTGTTACTGGTCTGGGTCCAGGTCGGGCTGGACCTGGACCCAAGCTTGTTCGCCTGGCACTGTGGAAGTGGGGTCGGGCTTAGCCGAACCAACCTGAACCCGTGTCCGAAGCCCAGTTTGGCCTGGTGTTCTAGGCTTTTCTCGGTGATCGAGCCGCAGGTCCAATTTGGCCGGCTCGGTCGTGGCTGCAAGCCCAATTGGACAATCCTACCTAAAGTTCCTAAGCTTCACCCATGTAATCACAAAGGCATAGGTAAATTTACGTAATTCAAAAGATTTCTATAATTAGTTTAAAGTATGGCTCCCACTGAGGATGTGATAGGTTTCTTGGTCTGAAGGGCATCATTAGTCATTAATGTCATTTTGGGTCTTGGATCAGGCCTAGTGTTGCAAGTACATATTCAAGCAGATGAATAATTGTTTAGGTAAGTAGGTCCATGATTCTGTTCTGAGATGAGATTTGTGGTGTTATTAATTAATTACTTAGAGTGCATTTTGCCAAAGGCGCTAAACTTTTTGTACTACATGTTGCATTTTTGCACCATTGTACATGCATGTTAATGTGCACACACATGTGCTTCCAGTTCGAGAGCATTTTGCTAGAGGCACTTGAACTTTGTACTAAATATTTTATTTTTGTGTAGTTATGTACGCAATTTCACAAAAAATTTAAATATTTAGTACAAAGATATCCACATGTGGATACTATCAATTTTAATTTAAAATTCGGATTCCAACATTGGAAATCTTAACCGTTGGATGTCAATAACATGAACTATCTAGAAATAAAATTTCAAAAGATTTCAACATATTTTATGCATATGTCATATGTCCTCAAAATCAATGTTTTAGAATTATCTTAATGTTGCTTTTTTTTATCCCTTTGATAAATGGTTCAAAACACATCAAAAAATTATTTAAAATTTTGTTTGTAGGAAGTTCATGTATGTTCAATATCTAACGGTTGGGATTTTTAATATTGGAATCCGAATTTCAAATTTCAGTTGACGGTATCAACATATTGGATACCATTAATAGTAGCATAGCTCAACTACACACATATACATATAACTTCTGAAGTGTTCTCTGTGTTCTATAAGAAGCTGATTATAGTGTGCGTGCACCTGGCCATGTGTCTATGCATCCTCTATTTATGTTGATCTTGATAGGAGGATGGTAGCTGATGTATGTATGATTGTGTAGAGTAGCTATAACTAGATTGTAGACCATAAATTGCTTTTGTGATTCAATAAATAAATCAGTATGGTACCTCCTTGTAAATTGCTATAAAAAATTTTAATTTATCAAGAACGCACATTTTTATTCTTGTAGTGCAAAAGTAGTAATTTTAATATACCCACCATTACCTTTTGTGTATGACGGTCATTTAAATCTGTTTTTGTGATCTAGCAAATGGAGTAATCTTTTATTTATTATTTGGTATGATTGTACCTCAGTTGGAATCACAGAAGGGTAGCTCATCAAGAAGAAGGTTGTTAGGTAACAAGTTGAGTTCAGTCCTCCCCCTCTCTCTTGGTGCCAAAGAGTACTTATTAAAGTTGTTGCTGTCAGGCAGCCTCAAGTTCTGATAATTCTGAAGATGATATATGTTACTGTTTGAGTCCACATGATGTGTGCTGAGTTGATTTCCATAACTTGGTGCCACCTGTTAGTTTTTTATGAGGAGGCAGGCTTTCTGAGGGGAAATGTAAATCCCCCTGTTCCCTTTGATTGGGCCGACCTATTTGCCACAATCCTAAGCTATAATTTCTTCTAAAATTGTTAAAACTTGCTTTGTTCCTTTGTAGTCCATCTTCTTCCACCCTCACTCTTTATTCTGTAGAACACTCGTATTCTTGAGAAGAGGACCTAGGAGTAAATAATATCGTGAAGGACTAAATATGAGTAGAACATAGGGTCATGTACCCATGTTTTATACTTTCCTGTTTATTAGGAGAGGTAAGGTTGGAAATTCACGGATCTGTTTCTGTTTCTGCCTCTGTTGATGGTATTTTTACAGGATTTCTATGGATAATGAACATTTAACTTATGCCTAGTGCATCTATGTTTATATGGCTAGTCAATGCAAGCATGATAGTTATTGAAAGTTGAAACACATTGCTTCAAGGTTTAACATGAGAACATTTGTCATTTTTATGGACACCTAATGATTACATAGCAATATAGCATTCAACATAACAAATTACATATTGGTTTCTAGTCTTTGCATATACATCTCTTTGAGCATTTCAGGTCGTGTTTCACCCCATGATTCCTAGTGAACACATAGGCAAATGCAGCATGTAAAACAATGAAGCAAGTCACAAGCTAAACGTGTCAACGTTCACATCCTGAGGTGGCATTACTGAGAAAATGCACTTGCTTAGGTTATGGTGCTGTAGCTTCTCGAAGCCATTTGAAAAAGCATATGCATGTTATGTTAATGGAGCATTTTTGATGCTCACATGAAACCTCAGACCGTGTGCATTTGGCAGATGCATGCACATGAAATGCCTTCACATTAACACTGTCCAGGTGTTGCATTAAGTGTGTTTATGGGGGGTTGGCGCTTATGCACACAACAAAAATGATGTTCTTGTACAGCGATGCACGTGCTTGAAGCTGCCCATTTTTAGAGCATACGTGGAATGGATATATGTAGGTGATATAGGCACTGCCATCAAATCCTTTTGCACATAAATGAATATGCCATGTCTGTATGTGAATATAGATTATGCATGCGTATTAGACTTGGGTATAACTACTAGAACTATACATTAACAAACATTTATCTAAAATCTTGCTCTCAGATGATGCAAAGTGTAATACCCCAACCCTTGAGAGGGTGATATGATTAGTATTAATAGATTTGATTGGAATACTCATACCACCAAGATGCATCTTCTTTTCGTGAACCTAACTCTTAGAAACTCCAAAGTTAAGCGTGCTTGGCCTGGAGAAATTCTAGGATGGGTGACCCCCCTGGGAAGTTTTCCAGGGAGCACGTGAGTGAGGACAAAACATGCTGAAAAGACATGTGGTGGTTTGTGAGGCCAGTCCATCAGATCTAATAGCGTACCGACTCCGGGATTCCGAGGCGGGGCGTTACACAAAGTGCTCAGTGATGCATAATAAGGATTTGAAGTCCTTTGTGAGCATTTAGTAGTTTACAGCAAGAAGGCAAATGATTTGAAGCCTGCTTACTGCTTCGATAGCTATTTTTTTTAGGAGCACTTGGAAACCTATTAGTACTAATGTCATAGATGTGAGGAAGAAGGAAGGTATTAAGCATAAGCACAAGATTACTCCATGACCTCATGCATCTGAGAAGTTTATTTGTGATGGGTCGTAGGTTATCATTCAATGGTTTTAAACATGTGAAATAGATCTTCAAGGTCGTAAACTGTTTTTCCTGATCGTTTTTCTTCAGATTTAAACCCTCAGGTAGCACCATATCTGTTAGAAAAGCTTGGCAGTAGATACCTATTGGTTGCATTTTTTTTCTTAGGAGTAATATCTCTGTTTTAAATTGTGATAGAATATGAAACGTTCGTAGTTGATGGAATTAATTTATGAAGCTTGGCAGTCGATAGAATACGATAGAACTTAACTTTTCTTAATTGTGTGTTTTAAATTTATCCAGTTGTTATCTTTTCAAGTCAGTTTTGCAGTGCGTTTTTTTCCTTTGTTAATTTCTTTGTGGTGACCCCTCAGGATGATGTCTGGTGTGTTGGGTGGCAAAATGGTGGTGTGCAGTCCAGTGATGGGAAAAACCGGATCCTTTTGGGGGGTATGAATTTTCGCTTGCTTTGAAATTAATTTTCTTTACATCAAATATTTTATATGTCTATTATGATTTTGTCGTCTTATTTTTATGTTTGTGATATTTTCTGGTAGATGCGATCCATCCCATGTACATTATCTGTTTGTTTTTAATCTCCATTCTCAAACATGTACTGTGTTTATGCAGATTTGGCCTTATCAGATAAGTTAGTTGTTTATGATCTGGTGAATCAGGCTATAGGATGGACTGAATATAACTGTAAGTCACATAACATTTCTTTTTTTCATCCCCCCCCCCACCCCCTCTCTGTGTCCCCTTTTCTTTCATTATATGCTATCCCCTTCTCTTCAGAAACTTGCATGTTTTTCACTAGAAAATTATTATATGCTGTCCCATTCTCTTTCACTGTATGCTGTCCCATTCTCTTCAGAAGCTTTAATGTTTTTAGCTAGAAAATTTCCCTTAGGCTGTGTTTGTTTTGGGAGAGTGTGAAAGAAAAGAAAAGAAAAGGAAAGGATACGGAAAAAGAAAGGAAAAAAATTAAGGTAAATTTTTTTTTTGTTCGGTTAGAAATAAAATGTAAAATGAATTTTGAAGCAAAATAATACTAGTTCAATAGAAAAGAGAGAGCAAATAAAATTAACTTATATTAATATAATAATCTATTTAATAAATTCTTCCTAAAGTACTATTTAAAATTTTAATTTTTTATGGAAGGTAGGATATGAATCCATGTGCATGTTACTGCTCTTTTCTATAAAAAGATAATGTAGAGAGTCATTTATAGAAAATCATATGGGAAAGAACAAAATACATTACCTTTTTCAGTAACCATTTTAAATCAGTACAAATGGTCCAAAACATTGGTGCAGACAATACATAAATCTGCAGACTTGGTTAAAAAATCAGCATAAAGAATTCCGATACAAAACAATACATAAATCAACATTACCAACTTTAAATATGTTTTGATATGTTTAAAATTCTCGTCTCTTTTACATATAATATTTAAGCTCTAGATGGGTTTTTATCAGGTTATTTCAGAAAACCCCCTAAAAAACTTCGAGGATTTTACAGATAACACCCTTAACTATTTTGATTCCACAAAACCCTCAATGTTCAGGGGTTTTTGTGGAATTAAATAGCTCGGGGGCTATCTGCAAAACCCCCAAAATTCTTGGGGTTTTCTGAAATTAATCCTTTTCATTTACAAAGGCGGGATTCATTCACTATTATTATTGTTTAATTGGGGCTCATTTGAAATGGGAAGTGAGCTTTTGGATCCAAATTTTCGTATTCTTCTGGGGTCCATGTTTAATCAAAAGGAGATGGGGACTGCCATTGAGGAGATCAGACACTGGACAGCCTCTTGGATTGGTAGCATCTGCCCGATAAATTTTCCCTTTACATCCACTGCGTTCGGTTGAGGAAAGGGATAATGAAAGTTGTTCTGGTTGTGTTTGTCCCAACTTTCTTATTTTCATTTCCTTTTTATCTTCCCTTCTAACCAAAAGTCAGAAATCTATTTTTTTACTCAGTTTCTTTTCCTTTCCTTTCCTTTATTTTCATTCAAACCAAATGCACTCTTAAACTCTTTAAGTATTTTCATAAATAGTTGTTTTCTTAAATGGTAGTCATCAATATTAGCAGTTTTCTTTATTGAATCTTCTTGCGTGTCCTTCTTTTAATTCTGAGGTCTTTGTATTTTCATGTTCCTACTTAAACAAAGACAACATATGTGCCCACTGATAATTTATGGCTCAGATACGTAACATCCATGATCACATATTTCACATTTTATCCAACTGTTGAAAATAATTTATGGTTTATTTTAGGCTCCTCAAGCATCAAAATTAAAGATGACAAGACTGGAGCAGTGTACAGTGTTGATGCGCACAGTCTTTCCTCTGGAATCAGATTAGAGATTAGTAGGTTTTTCATAATATTGTTGCTACTAATATCCATGATATGTTGTTTAATTCATTGAAAAATATCAGTAAATGATTTTCTGTAAAATGACTATTTTTCAAATTTGCTTCATTCATTTTTCTTTCAAAGGAGGGTGTATTTTTATGTTTCTCACAAGCTCTCTTATAATGTGGTTTGGTTTCGATGGAGATGCATGCATGCAAGAGATGTTGAGTATATGTCTTGAAACTATTCCTTTTTAGCGATAAAATTTTACAAATCATGAAATGTGAAAGTGCATCATAGCTTGAGAAATGTTGCTTGTGAAAGTCGATATCCCACAAAATTTGAAGGAGTGCGGTACTCAGAGTGATTATTTTACTAACACTAATCTCAACAGGTGATGCAATTTAGCTTATGATTTGTACGCACCTCTAAGATGTAAAGAAATTTCGCAACATATTATTCACATGGAATTACTTTTGCTCCTGAAGATCTTGAAAACGACTTGGTTCCGTATGTTGTGTGGGTTTTAATCATTTTGGTCGTTTCCGACCTCGAGGCTGAAATGCCTACCCTTCAGTGGGGAATATATTTTTGCTTGTTTTCAGCCTGGGCATGGATGGTTTCTTTTGTTACCGTGGAAGATTGAGATCATTTTGATTGCTTGGCGCCTATCTATTAAGGAAGGATTAGCATCTGAGTTATAGTTAAGACATGATACAAGAATAACACGCTAACAAACATCGAGTTTTTTGTTTAACTAACATTTCTCTTTTGTTACTTTCCTTTTAAACAACTTTTTAATCCCACTTCCAACCACACTTAATTTCACAACTGTGGTAGAGCCACGAGATCGATGTAGAGATGGGAATATTTCGCTCTTTTCTGACTATGGTAACAACATCCATTTCCTTTTGAGGATCGAGACTACGTGACAGCCTATTGACAACATTAACCCATGGGGTCGCAGTGGATGTCGGTAGTTTGCTTGAACCATGTAACTAGCTTATGTAGTGCAGACTGGAGGAAGCAACATTGATCTCCTTCCCTTTATCAATGAGTTTGTATCAGGGAATTTACCCCCATCAACATCCTCAACTCTGCCATCTTCCGATATATCCACCGGATAACTAACAATATGCACACCTCTCATATCCACCACTGCATCTCCTCTATACACGTCCCACATCTCCTTACCAATCCTTCGCAAAACGCTTACACATTCAATACTCTGCGGCTCTAGAAACGCTGCTTCTACCTTTGCTATGTGCTCATACCATAACGACATGCGATACTTGTGAATATCCCCTTCTCTGCTTCCTTCTTTACCCACATGTTCAGGCTGGTAACACCCGATGGCTATCTCAGTGTCTCGCTCTCCACCCATTGATCTTTGGTTGATATTAGCTGAGCCGATCACAATGTACTCATCATCAACTACAAGTATAAATTCAAAAGAAGGAATTCAGTAGATTGTCGCAATTGAAAAATCTCTATTGGATAGTACTAGTATGGGATGCCTACCTAGCATTATCTTGGAATGGACATAGATCATAAATCTTCTGTTGTTTTGAGCTTTCCAGTAATTGCTCGAATGAGGAGGCGAAGCTGGTGGGATATATTCCCCGCAGCCCTTCTCTTCTCGGTTAGCAAGGCAGAAGAAATTCAGGTAATCTGTTGGATGAGAGCTCGCTCCGACTTCTTGTATGGCCTGTGCTATCAACTTGTACATCATTGCCATCGTAAGCCTAGTCCAGTGCAGTATATCTTGCACGGGCTCACTTTCTGGCACACCTTCAGGCCACATTGGCATAACTAGCTTGCTATCTTAAGTGCAATCTCTACAGGAATCAAATTTGTGCATGTGCTGTGCTGATCTTGCTCCCACAAATGACATCCTCCGATGAAATACTGGTTCTCAATGTAGATGAATCTCTCTGCTCGTCTAATTGCCGCCACATATGCATCATGAATGCTTTGCTCGGCAGTATGACTTCTATCTGGAAGTGCTTGCACCGATACGTGATCTATTGATCGAAAAACCTGTACATTCCAATTCCGGATACCATGGCAGCGATCTTTATTACAAGTTCCGATCTTGATGGGGACAAGATGAGAAGAATTACACTGTTTCATCCAACGCTGCTCAAAGTTATCAAGAACATCTCTTGCTGCTTCTCCGCTGACGCAAGCATGCGCATCGTGCCATGGCTCTCTTGGGCCTCCTCTACGAAGGGTAGCACCTGCAAAGTTTATCTGGTAGAAATCATGGGCATGGGACTCGGAGTTGAGTGTTTGAAACAAGGAATGTTCCTCAGTATCATATCTTCCATCGCACAGGTCCAAACCCCCAAGAAAACTGATGATCTCCCTGTCACCGCAGCTGTCTTCTCCAGCAATATTGTATAGTTCAGCAGTATTACAGTCCATAGAGATAGTTTTCTGGTGGTGAGCAAAGAGAGTCGGAAAACTGTGATGAAGCCTTGGGCAAAGCCTGCATACTACCTTGGTCTGCTTGAAGTAGTCCAAAGCCTGCTCATCATGAGTCCTCATAACACCCTGATTCTTAATCCAATGCGATGAGGTCTCATCATCCCAAATCATGACCCTGACAGCAACACCCTCGTCTGCCTTTCGCTTTAATAATTCGCCAATTTCAATTCCTTGGGCATTCGGTATATCAGTCTGAGGATCACGTACCTTCAACTCAGAAACGAATAATAGTGAGATTTGCAGTAGACTGCAAATAGCATATAATGGATGGAGTTACTGCCACAATAAACGCAGAGACATAATCATAAAGATTTTAACATGTTTAGATCTTTTACAGTGTTATCACATATTGTACTATTACTTATTTGTCACCGGTCTAAGTTTCTTTCAGGATTTTTTTTGGAATAATTGATTTTTGATCATGTTCATTTCGGCAGTCTGGCTATGTTTGTTTGTTGTTTTTTTTTTAAATTTTTAATATTTTTTTTTGAATTTTGAATTTTGTGATCACTGGGTTGTTGTCCTTAGTCTCATACAGAAACAACTGTTTTTCCATTCTAATAATAGAGACCAATGCTTACCAGGACCGTTTTCGGATTGAATGACCATCCAGCAATGTAAATAAAAATTTTTGCCCCGTTGATAGCCCTGAACACATCCTCCCACAGTTTTCTCGGCTTGTAACACTTGTCAGTTCCAAGACCGATAATCGGTTCAAACTTGGGTCCGTGATGTGCATCTTGATACAGTATAACCCTGCAATTTGATCTTTGTGGGAATGTAACACCATTGGTGAGCCCTGCAAATCCTCGACGAGTCAGCCCTCTCCCCCAATCTAGCTCACAATTAGCACGGCGAAAACTAAGATTGAAGGCAAGTTTGAGCTTAGTGCTCAACCTCCCTTTGTTAGTGAGAAGAAACTGGTTAAATACTTGATCTTTTTCTATCAACAAGTGGCTCGCCTGTATTTGGACCTTTCCTAGCGTCGAAAACGCAGTCTTTAGAGACAGTTTAATCATTGTATCGGTAGAACTCTGAAGCTCTGGTTCCAAACTCGGTTGAGCTCGTGTCTCGTTTCGGCCACTCTTGTGTTTCCAATCTTGATTCTTACATGCGCAGGATTCGATCCTGTACATACGCACTGCTAAGAATGCCAAGAATAGGACTTCAGATTTCACAAAAAGAAAACAATACAACAAAATAATGAAGATATTGTTACATTGAAGCAGAGAGATGGGCTCTGAGGTGTGGCACTGAAGACTGTAATCTTCAGAGTTCCGTGTAGGAACCTTTTGTTTCCCTCCATTGATTCCTGTGGCTAGCACTTTGATTGAATTTGAATGAATCAAATAGGGAACTGATGAGATCAATCTTTGGATGCGGGGGGTTTACATGCTTGGAATCCAATTGAAGAGAAGGAGAGGTGGCATTGAGTCTTAGAGGCTACGTTCACGTTGAGGGTGTGTGATAAGTTACCACAACAAGAAAGCGCACACTTAATGGCCACGTTTGATTTATTTCTTGGCTTTTGAGTTCAATTGAACTGGGAAGAGATTGGATAGATTGAGAAGGCACGAAATGTGAAGAGGTTAGGTGTTAAGAATATGATGATGATAATTAAACCTTTTTGCGCTATAAGTTGTGGGGATTATCCGTTTTTTTAATTTTATTTTAAGAAACCCAGAAAAATTTGGTTACAGATATAATCTGGACCTCGAAGGAAGTTAGAGAAGAAGGTACATATGTTGGGGATTCGAAACAATCAATCGAACCCTTGCCCTTCCGGACCTTGTGTTGAAAGTAGGAAAGTAGGAATAAACCACAAATAAAGATCTAACCTTATAGAAAACAGTAAAAGAGACGAACACACAGATTTAACGAGGTTCGGCAACGTGCCTACGTCCTCGGGAGCCACACCACACAATCTTTCTATTGATTGAAGAAGAAAATACAAGCTCTCAAACAAGGGGTAAATCTCTCTGAGATTCTCTCTCTCTTAGCAGCCAAAAAGCTCTCTTTTTGATGTCCCTACAAACCCTAGAAACGTTTGGGTATTTATAACAAACCCCAGCAGAACAGGATTCCTAGATAAAATAGGAAACAACGAATCTGCGTCGCGGTCGACCGCTTTGCCAAGGTCGGTCGACCGGTCAGAACGACGAAATCCTACAGGGTCTTGTGCACGATATCGGTCGACCGCAGCGACCACGCCGGTCGACCGGCCAGAGCGAAAACTTCTTCTCAGTCTCCTGCAGTGCACGCGGTCGACCGGCTCTGCCACTGCGGTCGACCGCACAGTCTTCTGACTATTTTCTTCGTCTTTTCGATTGCAGCTTCGGGTCTACACACTTAGACTAACAGAAAAAGCTAGGCATTTAGCATTCAACATTCGACTAGTTATATTGACTTCCGACCATAGCGTAGATGGATAAGATGGAATTTTTTGGGGGAAAAAAAATTGTTTTCTGCTTTTAATTTATTAAGAAAAATGTTACAATTCTGGCAGTTGAAATCAAAGTGATGTCACAAAAGATGTAATATACTGATGTCACTTCTTTTTATGGAAAATTATAATTTCTAAACCAAGGACTTGACCTTGTTGGATTCGTGGTTCACTTGCAAGAGTCTTACAGATCCATTGATATAGATTTAATTGCTTGTTCGTTGTTCCCCTCAAGTACCGCATTATCCACTTTACGGCCTCCCAATGCTGCTTTCCTGGATTGCTTGCAAATCTGCTCACAACTCCCACTGCATGGGCGATGTCCGGCCTCGTGCAAACCATCGCGTACATGAGACTCCCAATGGCTGAAGAATATGGCACCCTGCTCATATGCTCTCTATCTGCATCTGTCTTAGGCGATTGCTCCTCAGATAACTTGAACTGACTTCCAAGGGGTGTGCTAACAACTTTAGCATTCTGCATGTTGAACCTCTGAAGTACCTTCTCAATGTATTCAGCTTGGCTCAAACTCAATGTCCCTTCAGCTTCATCCCTACTGATTCGCATCCCTAGAATCTGCTTCGCTGCACCCAGATCCTTCATTGCAAATTCCTTTGCTAGCTGCCTCTTCAAACTGTTTATCTCTTCTAAACACGGTCCTGCTACCAACATGTCATCAACATATAATAACAAAATAATGAAGCTGGACTCGAACCTTTTGAAATAACAGCAATGATCCGAATTGCATCTTCTGTAGCCATTGTTCTGCATGAAGTTATCAAACTTCTTATACCACTGTCTCGGAGCCTGTTTCAAACCATATAAGCTCTTCTTGAGCTTGCACACCATCTCTTCCTTTCCTTCTTCAATGAAGCCAACAGGCTGCTTCATGTAGATTTCTTCATCCAAGTCACCATGAAGAAAGGCAGTCTTCACATCTAACTGCTCAAGGAAGAGGTCTTCTGCAGCTACCAAACTCAACACCACTCTGATGGTTGTGAGTTTCACAACAGGGGAAAATATCTCCGTGTAGTCCACTCCTTCCCGCTGTTGAAACCCTTTCACTACTAATCTGGCCTTGAATCTCTTGCTTCCATCACTCTCCTGCTTGACCCGGTAGACCCATTTATTGTGCAAGGCTTTCTTCTGTGCAGGTAGCTGGGCTAACTCCCATGTCTCATTAGTGAGTAGAGAATCCATCTCCTCCTGCATCGCATGCTCCCACTGCTGAGATTCACTCACTTGCACTGCCTCTTCATAACACTCCGGCTCTCCGCTATCTGTTAAGAGTAGATAATCAAGTGACGAGAGGTATTTGGGATTTGGTTTGGGTACCCTAGATGACCTCCTAGGCTCCATGCCCTGGGTAGTAGTTTCTGCACCTGTAGTCTCCTTCGTTCTACGGTCAGAACTGACATCGTCGCCCCCATCTGGAAGTTCCTCCAAGTCCATGTACTCGGATCCACCTGTATCCGTAGTGCTGCTCCCACTGCTTTGGATATCCTTGGCATTGTCCCTGTCCTTGTACATCACCTCCTCATTGAATATCACATCCCGGCTCCTGATGATCTTCCTGTTCTTTTCATCACAAAGACGATACCCAAACTCATCAATGCCGTATCCAATTAAAGTGCACTTCTGTGACTTAGCTTCTAGCTTGTCCCTGACATGGTCACTGATATGAACATAAGCCACGCAACCAAATACCCGCAAGTGTGAGAGATTTATCTTCTTTCCACTCCAAACCTCCTCTGGAATCCCAAAATCTAATGGAACTGATGGCCCGTGATTAATAAGGTAAGCTGTCGTATGCACCGCATCCGTCCAAAATGTCTTAGGCAGACCTGCATGTAATCGCATGCTCCGCGCACGCTCTGTCAAGGTCCTGTTCATCCTCTCTGCAATGCCGTTCTGCTGCGGCGTCCCTGGAGTAGTCCTCTCTAAGCGAATCCCATTCGTAGCACGGAACCTCTTGAACTCCTCCAGCTCGTATTCTCCACCATTATCTGATCTCAAGCACTTCACCTTCAGATCTGTCTCGTTCTCGACCATGGCCTTCCACTTCTTGAAGATCTCGAACACCTCTGACTTGTGCTTCATGAAGTAAACCCACACCTTCCTCGAGTGATCGTCGATAAAGGTGACGTAGTATCTCGAACCGTCAAAAGAAGACACACTGGCTGGACCCCATACATCTGTATGAATCAACTCTAGCTTTGGGCCTCATACATCTGTATGAATCAACTCTAGCTTCTGAGCCTTAGGTGGCCTTCCACCCTTCTGGAAACTAACCCTCTTTTGCTTCCCAAAGATGCAGTCTTCACAAACCCCGACTTCCACGGTGTCGATCCCGGTTAGCTTTCCTTGTGAATGTAGAATTTTCATCCCTTTCTCGCTCATGTGCCCCAGCCTATTGTGCCACAGATCTGTACTCTCCTTGCCAGCTGCAATTGCGAGGGTGTCACTCGCATGTGAAGTGAGGTAGAGAGTTCCCGTTTTATTGCCTCGGGCAACAATCATCGTACCGTTGGAGATTCTCCACGAATCCCCGGTGAATGTCGAAACGTAGCCTTCTGCTCCAAGCTGTCCCACCGAAACAAGATTCCTCTTCAGCTTCGGCACGTATCTCACGTTCTTCAAGTTCCACTTAGAGCCCTTTATCTGTATCTGAACGTCGCCCTTTCCAACAATATTGCAAGGTTCATTGTCCCCCAAGTATACTTTACCAAAGTCCCCTGCTACATAGTTCTGAAGTAGTTTCCTATTAGCAGTGGCGTGGAAAGAAGCTCCTGAGTCGATGACCCAAGAATCAGAATCGCTATCCATAGCAAGGATCAAGGCATCCTGCACGATATGAGCCTCCTGCTCACCCGCATCCTTCTTTGGTGCTTTACAGACCGAAGACATATGGCCCTCCTGGCCGCAGTTCCAACACTTCCCTTTGATAGACCTAACCTTCGAGTTCGGCCTCTTCTTCACTGATTTCGACCGATTCCTGTTCTGGTTCCCTTTCTTCTGGCTTCTGCCTCTCTGCTCGAAACTTAGGGCTGAACCTGAACCTTCTGATTCGGACGATTTCCTTCTAACCTCCTCGGATAGAATCATGCTAACAACCTCATTCAGCTTCAACTTCTCTTTCCCCGCCGAATTGCTGATTGCCGTCACACAACCTGCCCAACTATCCGGCAACTGCGATAGAATCAATAGGGCTTGCACTTCGTCATCAAACGTGATGTCCACGGAGATAAGCTGATCACTCCTGCACGATATGAGCCTCCTGCTCACCCGCATCCTTCTTTGGTGCTTTACAGACCGAAGACATATGGCCCTCCTGGCCGCAGTTCCAACACTTCCCTTTGATAGACCTAACCTTCGAGTTCGGCCTCTTCTTCACTGATTTCGACCGATTCCTGTTCTGGTTCCCTTTCTTCTGGCTTCTGCCTCTCTGCTCGAAACTTAGGGCTGAACCTGAACCTTCTGATTCGGACGATTTCCTTCTAACCTCCTCGGATAGAATCATGCTAACAACCTCATTCAGCTTCAACTTCTCTTTCCCCGCCGAATTGCTGATTGCCGTCACACAACCTGCCCAACTATCCGGCAACTGCGATAGTAGTAGAAGGGCCTGCACTTCGTCATCGAACGTGATGTCCACGGAGATAAGTTGATCAACAATCGTGTTGAACTCGCTGAGGTGCATCGTGAAGGACCGTCCTTCTGCCATCTTGAGGTTGAAAAGAGTTTTGACTAGATGCACCTTGTTTGCTGCCGACGGTTGCTCGTACATCTTCGCGAGCGCTTCCATAAGCCCCACCGTCGTCTTCTCCTTCAGAATATTGTGGGCTACTGATTTGGCGAGCGACAACCGGATTTGCCCTAGAGCCTTCCTATCCAGTACCTCCCAATCACCATCTGACTCCGTCGTCTTCTTTCCCTTTTCCTT